ATATATAATAGTTTAAATTTTTTTATTTTTAAAAATTAAGTTTAAATTTATTTGTATTATACAAAAAAATAATAATAATAAATAATATATATAACACAAATTATTAAATTATAATAAAAATTTAAAAGTATTTTTTAAATAGTTAGATAGTGACCCCACAACACCTAGGTTTTTTCTTAAACCTAAAAAAGTTCAAAAAACAGTCCAAAACAAAGCCAAAAAAATTACAATTACTTTCATTCAAGCTTGTTTTATTCTCAACATCTCATCCAACTATGGTTGTTCTTGGCCCATCCAGCTCAAAGAACTACCATTATTCACTGTACAAATTCAAGTAAGAAAAAACATTAAAATATTTCCAAAAAAAAAAAAAAATCAAATCATACAAAATATATAAAAAAAGAAGCTAATCAAAGCTTGAAGAGCCACTCCATCTATCTTGCAAATACTTATCCAATGAGTTTAGGTGGTTTTGTTCAAAGCTAATAATTGAAGCATCATCATCCACATCAAGCAAAGCAAGGTCTATGTGTGGCCCAATGCTTAAACTTGGATAAGCTTCTTCTTCTTGGCCATCTTGCTCGTTGAGATTATTATTGACATTCGAGCTCATCCATGGCTCAATCTCTTGTTCTCCACGAAGAATCTCCAATACCTACATAAACATTATAAACATGTGAATATAAAGAGGGAGGGCATTCTCTCGAGCAATGGTTTGGTTGCCATTATTTTGATTTAGAAATTAATCTCGCTCACAAATTATCAAAATAGGTTTTTGGCAATGCGGATAAAAGATTGTGTTGACCATATTCTTTGTAATTCTAGTAATCCGCTATGACGATAAGCTTGAAACTCTAGAAATGAATTTTTAATAGTGTGAAAATGTTAGTATAAGCAAATCATGTTAGGGAGTGTGGATAAATGTGTTAAAAATCATAAAAGGCTACACTTTAGTTGATTAATTAACTAGTAAAGCATGAAAGATAATGAAACTATCATAAAGAAGAATACCCTTAATAATTAGGTTTTATTGTAATAATAAATACCATGATTCCTACTAAATTTTAGGTGGCATTTTATATCATTAACACGTAAACTTTCATATTTACTTTAAGTAACACCTGAATCTTTAATATCACATCTCAAATACCACGTGAAATAAAACTTTTCTTAAATAGGTTTATGACACCAAAATGTGATAAGTGTGTGTGTGTGATAATATTAACATTGAAACATAATAATCCAAATTACTCTATAAAATAAGTCTCATGTTACAATGAATATATTTTACTTTAAGCTAAAATGTTAAACTTACACATAAATACTTTATATTTACACATCTTACATATTTCAACTAGTTGACATGCAATCAAACTCAATACTCTCACGTGCCACAATAAAATTGAACAAATCTATTCATAACTTTCCACAAATCAATACCTGATTCATCTGAGGTCGGCGACGAGCTGCCCTTCTAATACAAAGCGACGCAGCACAAACCATCCTTTTCATCTGATCCTCCTCATACTTGCCATCAAGAATAGGATCCAATAACTCCACAACATCTCCCCTCTCTAATATTGGTATAGCCTAAGTAGAATAAAACAGTTCATATAACTTCATAATTAATTTGATCATAAAAGAACCACAAATCTAATAAATAGTTTTGGTTTTGATTAAGAAAAAAGAGAGAGGAGAAGAGTCTATTAACTCACCCACATGACCAAGCTCTCCAGCCCTTTTGGACTCTCATCATTGATTGGCTTTCTACCAGTGAGGAGTTCAAGTAAAACTACACCAAAGGCATAAACATCAACCTTGATGCTGACTTTTCCATACATAAAGTACTCAGGAGCTATATATCTGCAAAATCAAGTTAATTTCATAAATATTTTAAGAATTTATGAAAAGAAAAATAATGATAATAATTTGAAGAGATTTACTTCAAATTGGATAATCCAACTTACCCAAAAGTTCCAACAACATCACCATGAGTTAGGCATGGTGATGTGGTGGGCCCCCATATGGCTAAACCAAAATCAGATAACTGTCATACAAAAAAGCCACATATGTCAAATAAATCAATTTAAATTATGGTAAATTACAAATCTAAAAACTTATCAATTCATATTTATATCACAAACAGGGAATTATGATACAAGTTAAAATTTTACCTTTGGTTTACATTTATCAGAAAGAAGAATGTTAGAAGACTTCACATCTCTATGAATCACAGGTCTTGAGCAGCCATTATGTAGATAGTCCAAAGCTTCTGCAACTCCAACTGCCACCTGAAACCTCATCTCCCAATCTAGTGAAGCCTTGGATCTTTTACCTGAAATTATTTCAAACTTTGAACAATTAATTTCAGAAATTTTAAATTAAGCTTGAAACGATAACAATTTCTAACTTTGGAGTTTAATTGAGACTTAAGACTAAAGAAACCATTCACTGAGCAAAATTTCTGATACAATTTTGTTGCAGAATCTCACCATGGAGGTTGTCTTCCAGGCTTCCTCTAGAGCATAAAGAGTAGATAGAGATAGGATTTTTATCTTCAACACAAATACCAACTAAAGACATGATGCGCTTATGCTGAAGCCTGGTGATGATATCTACCTCAAGAAGAAAATCTCTTGATGATTTTTCAGAGAACTTTGATACTTTGATTGCCACTTGATGACCATTTGGAAGACAACCAATATAAACTTGGCTGTTTCCTCCTTTCCCAATCAAATTTTCTGTTCATGAAGCAAAACGTAAGTAGATATTAAACATTTTTTTTTTTCTTTTTTAAAGGAAATCGATATTTGGCAGAGGCCCAAATATCGATTTCCCATGCGCTTTTTGGCCCCATGATGAGAGCTTACGCTATGTGCCTAAAACTCTAGAGCCCCTGCGCCACAGTGGGATCGAACCCTTGACTTAAGAGAACTTACAATGACCCCGCCACTAACAGGCCAAGGCTTGCGGCACATAAGTATATATTAAACATATTTGATAGGCAAAAGAGACATTCAGGGAGCAGAAATAGGGACCTTGTGAGAAGAAATTAGTAGAATTCTGTAGCTCCTCATACTTAAAAAACTTGCAGGCAGAAGAATTTAGTTTCAGAATTCTCTCCAACTCCTTGATTAGATTAATCTCTGATTTTGTAAAAGGCATAGATCTGTCTGGCAAGTTCATCACCCATTGGACTACAGACATTTTTCTTCCTTCACTGCCTTGCAAAGTTTCAGTTTTTGCTGCCATTGATTTGCACAGCAGCGGCCAACCGGGTTTCCGTTCAGGCAACTTTCTTTGCAGTACTGAAACTGAATTACGGTTGCTTAACTTTTCATAAGAAATAAGGCAGTAATCCTTGGGTTCAGGCAACTGTCTTGAAGTTGCTGAAACTGAATTTCTATTGGTTTTTCTCATCTTATCATAAGAAATAAGACAGTAATCCTTCGTTTCTTTTGTGGTTTTATTCACTGTTTTCTTTTTTTGATCGCATGATATTCGAGCAGAAGTTGGAGCCATGGGTTTAGCATCCATGCCAAGATTTGGATGCAAGAAACTTCTAAGATTCCGCTTCTCTTCTCCTCCTATTGGAGCTCAGCAAGATTAAAATTTTGTAAACTTGTAGAAAGAAATTTGAGATTTTGAATTCAGAATATGATACCTGAGATTGGTTTCAGTTTAGTTGCTGCTCTTTCAAAGACTACTTGCTCCTTATGAACTGCAATTACAGAAACAGTTGAAGGGAGTTTCTTCGCACAATACTGAGCTAGAGAAGTTGAGCACCTGTAAGAGTAAAAAAAAAAAAAGCTTTTTAATTAGCCAAATATAACTATAATAAATGTGTTAAGAAAATAAAATATAAATCTAAATCTAATTTTCTTAACAAATACCCAAAAGAGAAGTTCTTGTTTGCTCCTAGAACAACTGCCTTCGCTGCACAGAGCTCTGCTTCTTTTACCAAAATTCTCTTAATGGAATTTCCACGAGCGATGCGGCCTGCAAGAATTACCTGATATATATCCATGAACAGATTAGAGAAATCTGGCCGTTAAAAAGCGGCTTCTGAATGAAAAGATGAATTTTTTATTTCATTCAAACAAAAATTGCTGAGCAAAATAAGACTTGATCTGCACATGATTGAATCCAGCAGTCATTGATGAGCAGATTACTCACCTTCTTCTTATTACAGAGATCCTCATGCTCTGTCATGAACTCATTTAAGATTCTGAACAAAGTAAGAGTTGGGGTTTTGCTTACTTCTGAAAGAAGAAATCATACAGAAACAAAAAATAAACAGAAATCCAAGAACTTTAACTAGTAATTAAGCTTTCTCAAATTGTGGGTTTTCAAAAACCTGTATCATTCCGAGAAACATTAACAGCCATTACAAAATCGCCTTCTTTGGCGATGCTCGTAAGAGCCCAGCTAAGCAATTTTCTTCCATCGCCATCAATTCGAAATCCGACAAGAATACATCTTTCCTTCCTCTTCTTTTCCTCTTCTGAGAATCCCTTCTCAAAAACCATCCTGTTTTCCTGAATTCTATAAACAGAAAACAATCTTCGAAATCTTCTTCAACCTGAACAAGACAAAACGAAAAACTTTTTTCAAATAAATCTTTAGCAACAGAACAACAACAGGAAACTCATGGAAACAGAACCGAACTTCCTCATATAAATTTATGGAGCAGAAGAAAACCTCTCGTTTAGAGGCAGAAGTTCATAAAAAAATGATGGAAGTTGATCGCAGCCGGTGAAATCATGGGCTTAACTGCGACCATATATAATAAAATTTGAGTTTTTATTGGATTGGAGGAAGAAGAAGAAGAAATGAGTTATTGTTGCGGTGGAGCCATGATGACGGCGGAGTTTAGTTAGGCGGGAGTTTTCTATTACAGAAGGACGAAAGGAGCGCGAAAGATGCAATCTTGGGGAAGGAGCAGTAAACAAAAGCAGAGAAAGCTCAAAAACATGACAGTAAAAGAGGAAGACTCAAAGCAGACCACATGAAGTGGGGACGTTCTGTTTATATATATCTTTTGGGCAATTGCATTTACATACCACATAATCCGAATGTATTTAGATATTAATACATAAATTTGTGATATTACATAAAAAAAATATTACAATTAATATTTTAAAAAGATAAATAATTTTTTTCTTTTATAATTTTGTGACCCCAAAGTAATATAAATATAAATACAAATTTCATATGTTAGATATGAAAATAGATAGAAAAAAATTTGCGTACGTAATACGTACGCAAAGCTGCGTACGTCAGTAGGTTACAAGCAGGCTCTTGGGACGTTATAACCTCGTTATATTCCCTGTAACATACATGTATCTTTTAGTAAATTATACGCTTCTGTTTTCATATATTTATAGGTTACAGGGAGGTTATATGAGGTATAAAGCTGATATAACTCTCAATACCTTCTCTGTAACATATTTGTAGGTTACTGAAGTACGCAGTGCTGCGTACGTCTTAGTTATGCAAATTTTTTTCCAAATAGATAAGACTTAGATGATATTTATATAAATTTTCCATTTATTTTTTTATTACATTAATTTACGCACACGTATATTTGTGTGGATTATTTAGAAATAGTTTTAAAATAATTTCAACAAAATCTGCGTTGGTTGATACTACGGATATGATTTTCTTTTTTAAATTCTGAGCATTTTCAAAAAAAATTAGTCTAGTTGAAATTGTTTTTGTTATTTTTTAAATTATTTTTAACTTTTGATAAATAATATAATCATTTTTTTTATTTTTCAATAAATTAAATTATTTTAAAATACTCTAAATAAACTTTAAACATTTAGAAAAATTATTTTTACTAAATTAATTTGTGAAGATAGAAGCCGGCCGGAAGGTAGGCATAGGTTGGCCATTCTTAATGAGCTTGAGGACTATGGTCAGCGTTCATCAAGTTTGAATATTGACTATATATGACCGCATAAAAAAAACAAAAATTTTCCATGTTTAGAAATATAACCCTAACCTAAGCATTTTATTAAAAAAATTCAGAGTTTTGAATTTGCATTAGTTTAGAAAATTTACAGAGCTTTGAATTGAATTTCTTCTTTCTAGACGAAGGGTCTGTTTGGGACTGATTCTGAAACGTGGCCACAGCCGACCGCGGGGGTCGATCCGCAACCTGCGTTTAGTGTAAAAATTCAAACATAATTTCGGATAAGCTGGTGAAACGCGCGAATCAAACAATACGACGGTATTTTCACCCTCACTTATAACCTGCCCCCAAACGGATCCTAACTTAACAAAAACATTTTTAAATTAGTTGCCTCAAAGTTAAGATATTGCACATAAATTAAGCAATTTTTTTTTAATATATTTCATGTTTACATATATAATTCACTCAAATTTTTTTCACATAAATATAAAAATTTATAAATGTAAATATCAAATTTTATGTACTGATGTGCAAATGCAAACGGTGTGGTCTGTATGTAAATTTCCGATAATAAGAACTGCTCTTGATGCAATAAGCGGAGCACATGCGTTGCCCAGGTGACAAGGCTGCGATTGCCCTACATGAAGGAATTTTTAGTACTATAATAATATTAAATAACGAACCTCCAAATTATAATGCTGCTAAATTATTTAATATTTTATTGCATTTATTACACAAATATGCTCCTCGGCATCTCACCATTATGCCACATGCGAGAGTCACGTGCGGAGCTTTGAGAATATATATATATATATATATATATATATATTCAAAGATGATGAACGGGCGGGCGGAATCGCTAACCACACCTGGCTCACAACTTGTCAGGTCCGTGTTGGAGTCATGCGCTTAATCACTCGCGTACCACACCCATATAGCATCAGTAGTCGGGGGGATTCGATCCTCATACTAGATGACTTACAACTGATAAAACAGATGCCTACATCTTATTTGGGAAAGCGACGATAGTAACAGAAATGTATATTAATGATTAAAAAATTATAATTTGTTGCCATGCTAGACATGAATAATAGATTAAATTCATTATCATCAAATGCATTGGTAAAATTTTATGGATAGCTTCAATTATATATTAATAGTTTAGCCTTTTATATTGAAATTATATTTAATTATTATGAAATTAAACTATATATAATTCATACTTTTTTATAGATCATTCATTTAGCTTTAATTTTTATGATTAATATTGTTCCAATTTTACTGCCCATTAAAGTATAATGAGATAAAAGTTAAATATCATGATTTCATATAGCCATCATTTGTTTGTTATTGCTTTAATTATCCTCGCATGCATAACATATCTTAGCCATCATTACTTTCCTTGCCGTCGGTCTTGTCCTGACAACCGATCAACATTTATGTTGGCCATCCTTCAGCATAATCAAGTATAGTAAATTAACATTAAAAAGCCTTATATTGCTTTGTTATGAAATACGAAAATTTAGGGCCCCTTTGGAGCATTTTTTTTTGGCGTGGTGCGTTTTGAAAGCATAATTTCGGTCATTTGAAAATAACGGTGCTATGGCATTGCTAAATAATTTATATTAAAATGCGGTCGCGGGTTCAACCCTGAGGCCTTCTCTTGTGTTTCTTCTGGTTCTTTCGATCCCGTGGCTCCCTCTCTCACATTTCTTCTGAGCTAGCTGCCTCTCTCGATCGCTCTCACAAAGTTTTTACTCCGCAGCCGATGTGTCTCTTTCGTTTCTCTCTTGCGTATTTCATGCGGCTCTCTTCAGTGGCAACTTTTCTTTCTCCTCTTTCTTTTCCCTATGATCTCTGGTTATTGTGCACAATATGTAATTCCTGTGCTCATTTTCGATGGAATGACATTTTCTTTGTGATTTGTGGCTTTCTCATTTGTGGTTTGTAGGGGTTGTGAGAATTTTGTGGAATCGATTCTGAGCTTTCTCATTTTCATCTCTAATTATTGTGAGAATTTTGTAGATTTTGTGAGTTCTATGATATGTGTGGTTCTGTGGAATGGTGTTTTGGGCGTTCTGTATGCCACTGCGGTGAAAAATGGATGAAACAAGGAGCTTGATTTGTAGATAGCACTGTTTTGGTACCATGTATGTCACTACCTCAAATGAAAAATATGTATTGGAAGTAGCTTTTTTCTTGGGTGCCCTGTGTGTAGATAGCACTATTTCGGGTCCCCTTTAAGTAACCAGTGAGAATTTGAAAAATATGGGTTCCTTGTAAGTAATTACCTCAAATGAAAGAGAGCGCTTGAGTGGTAGATAGCAATGTTTCGAGTGTTTGTATGTAGTTGGCTCAAATGAAAAATATGGTATGACGTTCTACCATTGTCTATGTGTTTGTGTGCGAATTTGAAAAATGGATAAAAAAAGGGTGTTTATTTTGGCTGTAGTTTGTGAGGAGGTAGTAATGTGTTGTGGGAGAAGGTGATGTGGAGGTGGTGGAGTGGTGTGGTGTGCTATTGATGTTGGTTTTTGGTGGCGTTGAGGTGGTTGGTATGTAGTTTGAAGAAGGTGGTGTGGTGTTTCTTATGAGGTAGTGCGATGGTGGTCGGTCTGGTGTTGGTTTGTGGAGGTGTATGGTTGACATGTGGAGGTAGTGGTGTCTGGGTAGGTGTTGGAGTGTGGTTGTAGAGGTGATGGTTAGTTTGTGGTTGTGTTTGGGTGGAGGTGTTTGTGTGGAGGTTGTGTTAGTAATATAGGTGGCGATGGTGTTGTGTGGATGTGTCGGTGCCTTAATGTGCTGGTGTGTGAAGGTGTCGGTGCCTATGTGGTGTCTGGTGGTGGTGTGTAGAGGTGCTGGTGTGATTGTTGCTTTATAGGAAGACCAAAGTAATGGGCTACGAGGATTTAGCAGTACAACTATGCTGATATTTTGTCATCATAGTATAAAATGTTGAATGTGTGGTGAAAGGAGCTCATGATTAGGATTGAATAACAAAAATCAAACAATGATGATTGGATGAGTTGTAAAACGACAGATGTTAAAAATTATAATTGAAAGATGATAATCAGGCAATAACAATTGTTAGCGATGATCATTAGGTTTTATAGTTGAACATAGCTTTAAAATTAATTAGCTATCTAAACTATTTAAATTTAACTCAAGACATGCTCATGTATAGAGTGAATGTAAGTTTATAATTTTTTTAAGAAATATTTAAATACTTCTATTAAAATTCTTAAACACTCAATCTCTTCTTAATTACATCAAGCATCAAATATATATATGTAATTTGTAAATGTAAGAAGTAAATTTAGATGCGAAATATGTAAATATATAAAAATTGGCTGGTATCTATGTAAATGCCCATAAAAAATTAGCTGAGCAGAAACCCTAAGGGAAGCAAACTAAAAAAATTATTTCATGCTCCATCTGTATTTAGTCCCACGTCGGTGGGTCTCTGTTTTTATTGGTATTTAAATACAACTCTTCCTTGCATTTGCGTGTTTTGGCATGTTTTATATCCATATTTATTCGTGTTTTTGAAGCTTTTTGAGTAAGATTTTACCAAACAAATATATGACATTGCAACCGTAACGTATGTTGCGAAACAGTGAAGCATTTCGCAGGGTAATATGTATGATTTTTAAGTGAATTTTATGCTTGTAGCAATTTCTATTATGTCCTAATATACGTTGCGAAAAAGTAAAACACTCAGCGAGATGAAAGATTTTTAAGCAGACGTTAGGTTTGTAGTAGCTCCCATTATGTTTGATTAGTTAATATGCAAACATAAACATAATATTTTAGCTTGCTTGCTTAATAAACGTAGTTGAATAACACTAAGGCTTCGTTTGAGAAGTCGGTGAAGCTTTATCGTGTTGCAGTGAACGTCAGCGCGTGAAAAAGTTCTCGTTTGGTGAAGCAGCATCCCTCGAACGTCTGTTGATGTTCTTTTGTAAGAATTATAATTTTTGCTATTTTAGATTATATATGCTATTCTCATTCCTCCTACGTGACTTTTAAAGGAGCTTCTTTGAATGATGAAACTGTCATATGCAGAGATGCATACGATGTCTGATCTCCATCGTCCATCACAACAA